TTACAAAAAAAAAAAAAAAAAAAAACGGTTTTAACATTCAGCTCAGCTTTAACCTCCGAGGGTGAATAGCCTGGAGCCCTAGGAGCAGTGCTCCTGCGACCCTCTGTTTCTACATTTGTTTACGTTCTGCTTGCGCTAAAGAGGAACCTAAAATCAGTTCTTTAAACACACAGAATTTAAGAGTAGTAACAACAAAAAGATAAAAATCGAGGTGAGGAGAAAATGAGATTATAGTTAAGTGAAACCAAAGGATGGTTCGATCAGAAAAACACCTGCCACGAAGTAGGTGTAATTATTAGAGAGATCGGCAGACTCGGCCCTAAGGTCTAACTACTAATCCAGAAAAGGAAACCCAAGATTCCCCAAGCCTATGAGGCCACAGTGGCTTGCGTGTCCCCAAACATCCCTCTGATCCCATGTTTAAAAATCACAGCCACCTGCAGGACACAACATGGTCTCTAGCTTTCCCTCGGACACTAACTACTTCCTTCTTTTATCACCTCTTCTGGTCATAGTGGGGATCTGAAACGCAGCTCAGTAGGCAGTGCCTTGTCCAAGGCGGGGCTGGCCCCCAAGGCTGCCTGACTCTCTCTGCCTGGAGACACAGGCTGCTCTGACTGTCCTCAGAGACTTCCGCTCTCCCGAGGACTCCGGGGCAAGCCACAGCCCAGAATCCTGTTAGACCAGAAATTTCTCGGTTCTCTCTCCTTTCCCCTCTCCAGTGAGGAGACTTTCTTCCCTCTGCATTCAGTGGTTTCCTTGCAGGAGCCATGAGTTCCCAGCCCCTACGGGCTGGCCCAGCGCTGACCTGTCACAGAATGACCTCAGCCCCAGTTTCACATTTCCCCCTTCTAAACGATCGCCTTCCCCATTCTCCCAGCCGTCGTTTGACTCTGAGCTCAAACTGACAGAAGTACTAGGGATGCAATCACTCCTGTGCCTACCAGGCTCTTGCAGGGTTTCCTTAGCAACAGCTTCATTAAGGAAACCCATCAAAAAAAAAAAAAAAAAAAAAAAAAGAAAGAAAGAAAAAAGAAATGCAAAGAGGCAGTTCTTGCATCTGAACGGAGTAGCCTGCATGAAATCTGAATGGCTTCGGAAAGAAAATTAACCAAGAGGCAAAGAGGTTGAAAGTCTCCTCAAAAGCCTCATAAAGGAAAATGTTCTTAAAGGGCACACAATCATTTCAGAACTTTAAGAAGTGAGGGGGTCAAGGAAAGTGCCTCTGTGTGACCCTCAGCTGTGGATCTAGCTTTCCAAACACTTCCTTACTAGCACTTTCTCTTAAGGTCATTTCCAGTTGAAAATAAAAATGTACTCAGTTCCTTGTGTTGCTGGGGTAAGGAGAGCCACAGGATGGTTGGGTGTTGGTGTCACAGTGAGGAGATTTAAATAACAATGGGAGATGCTGTGAGATTAGTTGGGTCTCCCGGTAGGCTTCTCCTCCATCTTTACAACTGGCTTTGAGCAGCGCGGAAGCTGCCCCGGCTCTGCTGTGCAGCACTAGATGGAGCCGCTGCAAGCCGGCGGCTTGGCGAGCAGTCGTCGCAGCCCACACAGCTCCCTTCGCTGCACATTTTGCTACGTTGCAATATCACTTCTGTTCTGGGGACACAAGCCTCCCGGGCAGCCCCCCTACAAGGCGGGAACATGCTCTTTTTTCCTGTAGAACTGACTCATTTGGGAATTGTTTGCCCTCGTGTCTAGTGTTTATCAGCCGGGTCCCCCTCCACTTCTTGGCTCAGCCAGCTTGGAGGATGACTGTCTGCCACTCACTAGACTAGACAGCAGGCAAGTAGGCAGGCAGGCAAACAGACAGGCTATGCCTACTCTGGCTCCTGCCCAACCCAGAGGGAAAGGAATGGGCGGGAAGGGCGCGGGAAGACACCTCCAAGAAACCCCTCACCTCTAAGGCCACCATCTTCTTTGTTGCCGGTGACACTGTTCCTTTTTCCTAAGCTCCCTCTCTGTGGATGTGAATGGCTGCACTTAGACTACAGAATCTCAAAGAACAGATAGATTCATACTTCAAGGCATCTGTGAATGGATGCCAGTGAGGTTTGCAGACTCCTGACCACTCTGGTGTGCCTGGTGGGTGTATATAACACTAAGGAAGTGTTCCTGTAGCATTTGCAACTTGCAAAGGATTAAGGAGGCCTCTGGCTTTCCACAGAAACAGGCTGCTAAGAGGATGCATGACTCCTCTAGTCACACACAGAGGAAAAGTTGACTGAACCTGGGTCTGGGGGCTGAAGTCCCAGGCCCTGTTCTAATACAAACCCTGACATTTGCCTGTGAAACCTTCATGGCCAGCACACAGATCTGTACACAGGCAGCTATTTGCTGCCCTTTAGGAGTGCCAGATAATTACCACAAACCATTCACCTAAAACAGCCAACACAGGGGAGAAGAGATTCTACATCTTGTTTGGTTGGTTGGTTGGTTGGTTGGTTGGTTGGTTGGTTGGTTTGGTTTGGGGTTTTTTGTTTGTTTGTTTGTTTGTTTGTTTGTTTTGTTTTGTTTTTCGAGACAAGGTTTCTCTGTGTAGCCCTGGCTGTTCTGGAACTCACTCTGCAGACCAAGTTGGCCTTGATCTGACTGCCTCTGCTTCCTGAGTGCTGGATTAAAGGTGTGCACCATAGGCTCACTCGTAAGGAGAGACGGCACCTGCACTAGTCACATCTCCATTCCTTCCAGAATGTCCACCATTTGTCAAAGTCATTCATTATCATCAAGTTGCACTTGGAACACACTTTGATGAAGAACCTAAAGCTTGCTCTATTTCAGAAAAACTACACGCCCTTTGTTGCTGTGATTTTAAAATCCCACCAGAACTCATTATTTTGCTGCCTTCTCAACTAGCAGACTAACATCAGGATGAGTCAACTACAGCAAAGGGCCTTCCTCTTTGTACAGACAGAATATAGAAGGCCAGGAACCGCCCCTGTGCCGCAGGGCTGTATTTGCCACGGAGCATTGCTGCCCTCTAGTGTTTGCCTGAGGCAAAGCAATGCCATAGCAGAGGTGGTCCAAACAGGCCCAGCTGGGAAAACGGTTTTGCAGTTAGGTCCAAGCACCCTACCTTTAATCTGCAAGGTAAGTTCAATAACTGCAGAGAGTGAGGGTCCATCGGTCTACAGAGGCAAAGCAGGGCTTGGATGGCTGGCAGCCACCCAGTCCTCTAGCACCAACTAAGCCCAACAGACTCCATTCCAAGTCTGAGAAAAGCCTCTTCTGTTTCAAGGCTGTCTCCTGAAACCCCTAGGCCTGATGACAATAGCACTAGCCCACTGCAGACCTGTGGATGGACATGAGACCCAGCCCCCTGGCTACAAGAAGTTTCAAAGGCTTCCCTGGACCCTTTCCAATCTACCTTGGAGGTATGGCTTGTGTCAGGGTCCTACCCTCTTGCCCTGTGTGTGTTACCTTCACTGTCCTTTGGCAGTTACACTAGCCTGACCCCTGCTGGCCCTCCATGCTCCAGTCCAGTGAGGCTCTAGCATCCCACCTCTGCTCTTCAGCCACTTTGATGGTCTCTTTCCCTCAGTCCTGGGTCCATACCCTGTGAGGCAGGCATTAGAAGGGCTTTAACCGTCCAGGATCTCAGTCAATGCACATTGCAGTGAGTTTGTGTATGCCTGGCATTGGGGCATCCTGCCCTCCAGTCCTCAACAAGGACTACAGCCTTAGCATCATCCCTGAAAAGACACAGCTTCGGGGGCGGGTGAGATGGCTCAGCAGGTAAAGGGGCATGCCACTAAGCCTGACAACTGACGTTCAATCCCCAGGACCAACAAGAGGAAATGAGAGAACAGACTTATCCAAGCTGTCCTCTGACCACATGCATGTTGTGGCATACGTGCCCACACATAGGAACAGATATACACAAATAAAATAAATGTAAATACACACACACACACACACACACACACACACACACACACACACACACAAACAGCATGGAACCCTGGGTAGAACCAAGTTAAACTGTAAACTTCAGCTAGAAACTGACATCTAGCTCATCTCAGGCCACTTCCCAGGTAACTGACGCTTCTACATCAAAGTACAGGTTTTTGCCTCTCCTGCCTCCTGGCTACTGGAAGCCAACAGAGAACAGACATTGGGGCCTCTCCTAGCCTTCCCTAAGCTCATGAGGTGCAGCTGGTTCTCTGTGCTCCCCCAGTTTGAGGCCACCGGTGCTCTTCCATCTATGTGAGCCGGCAACACTGGGGCAGTCTTTCCAGTGTCTTTTGGACCTTATTCTGTGTTTGTCTCCCCCTCTGTGGTTGAGCTGACACTCTGATCCCTCTGTGTGTCACTCACATGCCTTTCAACACCTGCCTTCCCTATGAAGCTGCCACTCAGTGATGGCAGAGTGGCTGCTTCCCTCCACGCTACTTCAACGTGGCGTCTATGGGCCGGCTGCTGCTTGCCGGAGCCCTGTCTCCCTTGGCTTGCCTATAGATCAGTTCCACTTGGCTACACAGAGCTAACAGCCTCCAGGTTGGGGAGCGACGTTGTGAATCCGCCACTAAATGCTTTCATGACTGCCTTATCAAATACCTTTTCAGGGGCTGGGGCTGCTGCTCCGTGGAGGAGTGCCAGCCTGGCACACAGGAGGCCCTGGGTTCAATCCTCAGTGTGCTCTTTAGGCTCAGATTTAACCATTTGTGAGGTGCCTACTGTGTGAATGGAGCTAGACAAGCCTCATGTTTTGTAAACCAAACAGCCCAGCATTACAAATAGCAAGCATTTCACAAGTGACAAAGGCAAGAGCCACAAGATACGTCAAGGTTGCAAAGCTGGCAGGAGCCAATGCTATCATTCCCAATAGAAATCGGGAGAAGACAGTGAATTTTGAATTCTAAAAATACAATGAAGAAGCTCTTGGACTATGACCCCTGAATTGTTATTATACCATACAATCTCAGAGCTGGATCATAAGTGATGCATTTCAGGAGACCTGAGTTCCCCCTCCACGGAGGCAGACACAGGCTCACCTGCCGGAGGTTGATGTATACAGCATTCTGGAGAAACTCCGACGCTTCCATGCCACGCTTCTGTATAGCCAGGACACGCACAGCCTTGACACACGCTTCTAGCTCAATCACTCCGGCGTTCTTATACTGCGGGTATGAAGAGAACACCTCCATCAGCAAGGGGCAAGGGTGTTTCCAGAGCTAGGAAGTTTCTACTGACAAGCCAGGCATCAGCACTTCCCTGGCACAAGGCCCCTGGTACCCTCAGGGAAAAGCTAATTCCGAGAGTCTGTGTTAATGGGTACAAGTTGAAATAACCCTAAGTTTGCGTTAATTAAAATCATACAACCGTGGTGCTCATTCCAGGGGCAGTCAGGCTGAGGATTCCTTGAGACCAGAAGTGATTAACATTTAGAGGAGCTTGGGTTTTGGGGATTTAGGTTTTTGAGTTAGGGATGCTCAGCCCATATTACGAATGGATGCTTTGCCATTTTTCTTACCTAAATGTGGTTCTCACCCCTGCGGCTTTAATGCAGCAGTTGGGAATTTGTTGCATTTTGCAGAAGCCATCTGGGCTGTCTGTGTTCTGTGCCACTGATCTTGTCTCAGAACCACCTATACCATAGCGCAGGCATTGGAACAGAACGGGTTCTGTAGGTCTCCTCTGAATCACAACTGCTCCATTAGGACAGGGAGATGGTTCAGCACCATGGACAGTCCTCGCTGTCCGCGCTGACCCTAGCTAGATAGCACCCCACACACGGTGGGACTGGGCCGCAAAGCGAAGCAATGCGATGTTCGTGCCCAGAAGCAGCTTAGGATTTATTCTCAAGCTATAGGTATAAGCACAGCACATCTGGAAAGCATGTGCACAGAGGATACGAGTGATGACAGAGGTACAACAATGGCTGTCTGGACATGGGGACCAAATGAGCACAGTCCTCTGTTCTGCCAGACTGCCCTGCTGTCCATGCACTGATGGTGGCGGCCAAGTTACATGCACGTGACATTGATGGAGACAAGGGCCTCAGCCTATTTTCTTGTGCCTAAAGAAAGACGTAAGGCTGCAGACTGTCTGAGGTTCCCAACACCTCAGCAGTGTGTCCAGGCCTCCAGCTCATCTCTCCTAACACAACAGAACATCCTGAGACAGTGCTCAGGAGTCCAGGGAGAAGCCATTCACGGAGACCAGTCTGCAGACGACGCCTCTTAATGAGTACTAAGTGAAAGCCAAGCACTGGATCAACCTTAATTAATCAGAGGTCTTGGGTAGCATTGGAAAAGCTCGGGCTCTTCAGGGGAGGAGGTGAGAGGAGAAAGAAAAGCAGAAAGGGCTCGGTGAAGCGCAGGAATGAAAAGATTACTCAGGGAAAGCAAGACATGAATTTCCTCCTTCCGTCTGCTTTACATACATATGAGGAGCTGGCTTTGCCCAGATGCCATGTAGCATACTGAACCCAGGAAGAGGAGGCAATAACCAATGCTTTATTGAGCAGTACTAATGAGCCTGCCACTGCGCTGGCCATTTATATATGTAAAAATCATTGGCCCTGATTAAGCATTCTGTGCAGCAGAGAGATGAGAAACCGGTATCCGGGCCTGCAGACCTGCACAGGGTCAGATGGCTGGAGAGGGCAGAGGGGTGCTCTGTCTGCATGCTGCTCTCTCTGACTGGTGGTGGCGAAGCCGCCTGACTCCTCTGTTGTGTCCCAGCGGGCCAGACTTGGCCCCGGAGGCGATGTTCACACACCAGGTGGCCACTGAGGCTCCCACCTGGCTGGGGAGATGGCATCCGCCTGCAGGCACAAGTGCGCCCACAATGGCAAGAAGGCAGATCTCAAGTGTGTGCAGTCGGAACCCTACTTCTCGGGGCCCTACAGCTGTGTAACGATTCATTTGGATGCTCTTGGAGACTGTTTTCCTAAAACAGACAGGAAAGGGCTCTGAAGGGGCGAGGGGGCTTCATTCCATTTTTAAATGCCTTAAGCTTTAAAATGGACATTAAAGAGTCAGTCTGGGGCCAGCAAAATGGCTCAGTGAGGAAAAATACTTGTCACAAAGACTGACAACGTGAGTCCCTGAGTTCGACCCCTGGGACTGTTGGGATAGAAGGGGAAAAATCAATGCCACAAGTTGCACTCTGGCCTCCCTCCAGGTGTGTGTGTGTGTGTGTGTGTGTGTGTGTGTGTGTGTGCAAGCACTAAATAAACAAACATAATTTTTTAAAAAAGCAAACTACATTTCTATCCAACAGTTTAAATGAGTGGAATGGGAAAAAATTCCACTTGTAAAACAAGCAAAGAGATATACAATAGTTTGGAATACAGAGAAAACTGTTTGTATTCTATACAGGGGAGGGGAGGGGCCGCAGCACTACACAAGAGGCCAGAACGCCAATGTGGAAATGCTTGCCCCTCGAGCCTTCTAGAGGCGAGCAGCACTGTGAGGACATCTTCTTCCCGAAATAAGAAGCGTGCTGTGTATTCTACCAGAATGCCAGCTTCAGTTTTTATTAAGTAATGTATTTCAGAGTTACCAAAGAATAATAACCCATCATCCCAAGAAGGTTTTGCAAGGAAGGCCTCGTGAGATGAGAAAGCTGTTCTGAGGGAACTGGGCGTGGTGGCTCCCAGCTGACAACGTCTCTCTTGGGGTCACTGTGAAATGCCTGCTGATCCTCTTGCGAGTGGACATTTACAGTTTTTTCCTTTCTACTGCTATAAAAATGTTGTGTTGAATGTCCTCTGGTTCCCACATGAATGTGCTGGAGGCTGGTTTTATAGATGCCAGTCACTGGACAGGGCATCAGAGGTTATCTGCAATCTGTCTTAATTCCCACTCCAACATAGAAAGACATGGAATTATTAATTTAAATAATCTTCTATCACTGGATAGTATTTAGCTTTGAATTCTTCTGCTCTGATAAATAACCCTATAATTATATATTTTTTAGACCAATTAGATTTTTTTTAAGAAAAATTTTGGTGTGGGAAGGGGATCGAGACAGGATCTCGTTGTGTATCTCTGGCTAGTTTGGACCAGCTATGTAGACCAAAATGGCTTTGAAGCCTACCTCTGCATCCTTTGTAAAATTACCTCCTTAATTTGCCTCTTTATGCCATGGATGTAACTGATTCTCCTGTACCTGCTTTACCATCATTTATTGAATTCCTCTTTTATTTTAAGCTCTGCCCTTCCTCTCTTTTTTCCTTTGCCTTGAAATTTTACCTCACTGGCTTGGCACACATTTTAAGAAAGCAGGCTGAGCAAGCCATGTAAGGAGCAAACCAGTAAGCAGCAGCCCTCCGTAGCGTCTGCATCAGCTCCCGCCTCCAGGTTCCTGCCCTGTTTTGAGTTCCTGTCCTGGCTTCCTTCAGTGATGAATTGTGATATGGAAATATAAGCCAAATAAATCCTCTCCCCACCCCCCCAAATTGATGCTGGCCATGGTGTTTCATCACGGCAACAGTAACCCTCACTGGGACACATTGGTTTTCAGAAGTACAGAAAGCTGTTGTAGAAAGATCAATAATAACTATCCGTGAATGTGCTGTGACAGGCTTTTTCCAAATTTATATTAAATACATACTGTTTGTAATGGGAAAAAAAAATAAACGTTTTAGGCATTTAGCACTATGTACTAGAAAATAATACAATACAAAAAAGCAAGTAAGAGGAGAACATGCTGGCCAGACAGTCTCATCACCAGGACCCACATGGTGAGGGGAGAACCAGCTCCTCTGTGTTGTCCTGCGGTCTCCACACATGTATCGTGGCTCACACACAAATGAATGCCACCAATAATGTATAACCTACATTGCATTTTTTTTTTTTTAAAGATACTGCAATATGACATAATGTCAACAGGGAACTCCCTGACTGGAAAGACAATGACACAAAGACAGTACAAAGCCATCAAGTCACCTTGCTGTAATAGGAAATGGCCTCTTTGTATTTGTCAATTATGTCCTCTGGGCTGAGACAGTTCTTGGCCCGGCCGATCTCGGTACTGGTGTCAGGATTGATGCCGTTAGTGGTGAGGGCACCTGCGGACAGAGAAAGAGAGAACAGTCATGTGCTTTTTTTCTCTTCCCTGTCCCTTATTTCTTGAAAGAGGAGTGTGCAAAAGCAAAGACCTAAGCGCATGCCGATGGGATCTGAACCCCAGCCAGAGTCTTCCGATTATCCACTGGCTGGAATGCTCTCACCGTGGCAGCATGACATGCAGGGTTAACTAACTCCAGTGGCCTTCCCTCCCTGTGAAGATTTTCCCATTAAAGAACATGAAATGCATTACATAAAAAGTACCATATGGACAATGACCCAGGAACCACACTGGGGCCTCAAGGGGGGGGGGGGGCGGTGTATGAGCCACTTCCTGAGCCGGATAGCTCAAAAAAATAACTTGAAAGTGCTAGTTGCCTCTCCGTGGCTGTCATTTTCTATTTCTGACCAACCCTTGCCACCGAACTCACACAGGGAGAGGTAGTTACTTCAGAACAGAAGTAACTACAGAGAGAACTCCAACTGAGAGAAGGAAAGGCAGAAATCTTTGATGTCATAGGACACACAAAAAAACACCTGCTTAAGTCTTGGTGGCTGAGCTTCTCCTAAGCCACGTGTCTATCTTACAGACAGGGGTGTATCCCAAAAGCCCTGCTTCCCTGCTGGCAGCTTGGTCAGTATTTCTAACTGTGTGGGGCCAGGACGCAGATCACACACTGTGACAGGCACCAGGAAAGTGCATGTGGTACTGGCTCTCTAGCCGAGGGCCGGTTTTTTCGGCTGTATGCTTTCACTAATTCTGAAAACTGCCTCGTGTGTGTTTTGGAACGAGACAGAAAAATGATGAGTAGCTAGATATGTGGAAAGATGGACTGGTGACAGAGAGGTGAGGAAGCTAAGCTATGAGATTGAAAAATGGGGAAAGAAAAAGGCATTTTGTGCAAACATCTTCTTCCAATACGAAGGGAAAGAACTTTAGTAGAGAGCCATGAGGGGGTAGGAGGAAGAACATATCTCAAATCCATCCTTTGTAAGAACCAAAGTCAAGTCCACAAGGACTAGAGTCGCAAGACTTGGACACTAGCAGAACCCTTGCTCCCTTGGAGCAGAGTTCAAGAGAACAGCCATTATGCCTGAGGTAAATGTACCTAGTACTGACCTAGAGGAAGCCAGTGCCTCTCCATAAGACCTCTCCACAAGCTCACTTCTGCAGCCACAGCAGCTGCAGGAGGGGAGCTCTGAGCTGAGTGCTCCTGCAGGTAGGGCAGGGCCTGGAGGAGCAGGGCTTTCCCAGCATTCAAGATGATGGAGCCACTTCCCGTAAGGCTGGGCCTGTGGCCCGGCCCAGCACTGTCTCCAGTTCTATGTGCCTGTCATTATTGTGTCACATGCCCTGCACAAATTAATATTTAACACATGACCAGGGGTCTTACTGAAGTGTCTGACTGGCACTAACGAAATTCCCAAATCTTGCTCACTGGAGAAAAAAAAAAAAAAAAAAAAAAAAAAGGCGTAGGGAAGGGGAGAAAAAGGATTCCATTGTTCACATCGAGCCACGTCTTTTCTCTAGCCTAGGAACATGAGAGAAGTCCCCATTCACTCTTCCTCTTTGTAAGGAAGGAAGACATGAGTTGCCCTACTCCATGAGTGGATGGCTTTATTTAATAAAAGGCTTTTTTTATTAAAAAAAAAAAAAAAAGGCTGGAGGGTTCATCTCATATGAGGTAACCAAGAGCCACATCATCTATAAGAAATCAGAGCCTACCTCTGCAACGCGTGCAGTGGGCCGAGCTGATTTCATTTCACCCAATAAACGAATAACAAGCTAAAAATACACGCACACAGAAGACCTCATCTCTCCTGGCATCCACTGTTTTGACAGCCCACACCTAACATGATTGTAAGCCAGTGAGACACAGTCCTCAGGACCCAAACTTCTAGCTGACAAGGAGGAAAATCAATTCCATGGGCCAGTGAGAACCCAAGCTGGAGGAAATTCAAGGTGTGTGTGCAAGGTGACACAGGACAAAGAGTGTCAGCCAGGCAGCCCTTGACTCATTCACAAGATAGCAGGAGTCCCTGCTCTGCAAGATGGTATGCAAGGTCCAGTCCTGGAAATTCAGGCCGACAGATACATCCATGTGGAAAGAAGAGGACAGATCAGAGACCAGCAAAGCTATGCAGAGAGCAACCACACATTAGCAGAATCCAGTAACCCTGTAACCCTGCCACAGACCCATGTGACGGGAGACCAGGGGGTCATGCCCCAAAGCCAGTAACGTGCAAAGCCAAGTCTGCAACAAAGGGGCTGCCGACCCCACTGGGGGACTCCTGGACACTAAAGTGGACAGTTGGTGGCACATATTAAGGTGTGCGGAGGCAACAAAAGCCCAAGGCCTTGACTGTGTGCTGAGATAGCCTTGACACCAGAAGTACCCCTGAGGCGCCAGGGTGGTAGTTTGTTTGCAACTCACTCTTTCAGAGCTCCAAGAACAGGGAGGCAGAGACAGGATGACAAAGGTACTTTCCTGTACATTCTAGGGTGTTTTAAATGAAAGGTTAGAATAATTAGAATTCTGGAGCTGGTGAGATGGCTCAGCTGTTGAACCCGACAAAACTTCATTTTTAACCCGCATGGTGGAAAAGAGAGAACTGACTAACACTAACTGAATTCCACATGCACCTGGGAGCTACTGTGCACCAACTTAACAGTACACCACACAAATAAATTAATGTAATTGTTTTAGTTAGGATTTTAAAGCTGGGCACATGCCTATAATTCCAGGATACAGGCTGAAACAGGAAATCAAGAGTTCAATGCCAGCCTGGACTACAGAACAAGTTCAAGCCCAAGCCAGGCTATAAGGCCCTGTCTCACATTGATAGATGGATGGAAGGATGAATGGATGGAGGAAGGGATGAAGGGATGGAGGGATGGAGGGAGGGAGGGAGGGATTAAGGGATGGATGGATAGATGGATAGATGGATATACAGATAGGCAGACAGACAGACAAATAGATAGACAGACATTAATTATAGGAAAAGTCTATTAAAATGGGATTGTTTCAGTCGTGTATAAGAGCAATGACATACATAATTGGGAGTGTGAGTGAGCTCAAATGGAGAGAAGGGACAGATTGCCAGCTCTGAGGGGAGTGAGTTAGCACGGAGATGGTGAGAAGAGGAGTGACAGTATCACACGTTCTCTGGCTTTGCTGATACCTGCCAGGTTCATATTAAAGAACAAGTATAGTGTGAGGACATACATCTTTTTTCCACCCCAGGAAATAAACATACTGAGAAGAGCCTAATCAGCAAAGGAATTAGGAGGAAGCTGACCAGGACAGAAATACTGAGAGGGTTGTGCTTTTTAAGTAAGCTGAAAAAAGACGAAGGGTGGACTGCACACATCTCACAGCAGAAGTTCAATGGGAGTGGACACTTCCACCATGGGAGGACACACAGACACTGCCCTGTGGCAGAGCACAGCTTCCCCACAGTACCCAGCAATGTTCCCAGATGCTGGCCCACAAGAGGGTCTCAAGACATGTAAATGACCTGAAATTGCTTGTAAGTGATCCTACCATCACAGCAGGAAGTTTGGGAATTCACAAATACCTGGACATTAAACACCAAACACCCAGGAACATGCTTCAAAGGGAAATCAGAAAATACTTCCAGGCAAATGAAAATAAAGCACCGTACACCAAAGTTGAGAAGCCACAAGCATGCTCAGGTAGAGACTTCTAGGTCTAACTACTTAGCAAAACAATCTCCAGCTGATGACCAAGAAGACTGGAGAAACTAAGTTCTAAGCAAGTTAAAGAAAAAAATAAATAAATAAAATATACAACAGAAGCGAAAGGGGGAAAAAATAGAGAAAAATCAATAAAATAAAAAGCTAATTAAAAGAAATAACAAAACTGACAAACTGGAATTGAAAAGGAGGAAAGACACCAATTACTAATATCAAGTTGATGTGAAGAAGAAAAATTAGCATTTGCCAGAAAATGGATGGAACTGTAGATCATCGTGTTAAGAGAAACAAGCCAGACACAGGCAAGTGGATGTCACTATGTCTCTCATATCAGGAATCTAGATTTGAACACACATACACAGAGAGGGGGGAAAATGATAAATAAAAACACCTTTCCCAATGTGTCACCTGGCCTTGATTAATAAATTTAGAGGAAGCTTCGATACAAGGTGGCATAAGCCCTTCAAATTTTGTTCTCTTTAAAAGTAATTTTAGATATCTTGGATATTTTAGCTGATGCACATTTTAGGATCTGTTTTTAAGACTAAATTAAATTGTGTGTGTGTGTGCGTGTTTATTTGTTTGTTTTTTGAGACAGGGTCATGCTGGCCCACCTGGAACTTGCTGTGTAAAGCCAAGTTAGCCTGAGACTCACAGAGATCCCCCTGCCTCTACCTCTCGACTGCAGGGATTAAAGGTATGCACCAACACACCCAGCCTCTAAATAAAATTCTTAAAGAAAAAAAAAAATCTTAAGTTAATTCAGGGCTGAAAACAGAAATTATTACCAGATACATAAATGAACAGGACGGTAAGGGGATACAGTGAATGCCATAAATTATATAAGACAGATGAAATGAACAAGCTCCTAGAAAGACACACACACACACACACACACACACACACACAAAAAAAAAAAAAAAAAAAAAAAAAAAAAAAAAAAAAAA